ATTTAAAACCTTAAAATACTATTTAAAAAGAAAATTATATTAATAATATTAATTTAAAACTAAAAAATATTAAAAATGTTAACTCAAAAAGCCATAAAAATATCTAAAAAATCAACGATACGTATTTCGGGAACAATGTTACCATTATCAACGTTAAACGCACATACTGTCATTACACATATTTTTTTGAAACGAAAATTCAATTTTATTCATTTAAAACTAAGAGGAATCATCAAATAAAAATATTTATTACTCGGTCACATAAAAGTGTACTACAAATTATGTATAAAATGCCTGGATGACTTGGTTGTCTTTAAATAAGTTATTTACAGATCAATATTACTTACATTGTAAATCCAAAAATTCTCCTAATTAAAACTATACATACAATATAATTTTCGGACCTTTTCCGTTAATTCACTACCACTTGTTTTATTTTGGTTTTTCCACACCATCCGTCCGGCCGATAATGGGATTGTGCGACGTCAAGCGTAGTTGTCGGATTGTTATTATTATAACAATAACGATCCTAATAATTTATTTGAAACAATGCTATAACATATTGCACACTTTATACCTCCAGAATAAAAATCGGAAAAAATAAGTTGTAGTGAATTAAGGGAAAAGGTCCACAGTGAACCGAACCACTGATCTATCTACCAAATGTTCGCCAACGAGATCCTACTAAAGCGGTTGGCCCATATAACTAATAATAAATAGAAAAAAATAAATAAATTCATAACCAAAAATTACTATTCGTACTGTTCTTATTCTTAAATATTATAAAATAATTCTTCAAATGTATAAATTTAAACCGGCCGCCGCCAAATACAAGAGTATTTAGATTTAATAATAAATAAATTTACATACATTAATATGAATTAATACAACCTGTTCAATCCACGGATTCGACTGTTACCACTGGATAAAGCTTCTAAATTTGAATATTGAGGTAATCATGGAATAAAACCGGAGTCTAATTATTCAATAGTTACACGGAATTCTGTNTGTTCAATCCACGGATTCGACTGTTACCACTGGATAAAGCTTCTAAATTTGAATATTGAGGTAATCATGGAATAAAACCGGATATTCAATAGTTACACGGAATTCTATNAACCGGAGTCTAATTATTCAATAGTTACACGGAATTCTGTAGGTTCGCAGCCTTCATCACAGTCTTGAGACGAATAATGTTCAAGGATAAAGTGTATATAAGTGCGGCTCACTGCAATGGGACTAAGAAGAACAATGCTCAATACAAGGCACACGCATCAACCACAACACGTCGACAATAACTAGTCAGCCGACAGACTGGTTACCGGCAATAATAACTGAATGCTGGTCGTTGACCACCTCCACTTCCATGACAAACCAACCAGCGTTAACATCAATTTTAAATAATGTTAGCCACCACCAGTGATCAAAATATAACTACAGCTCGACCTTTTTTTTTATGTTGGTGAAAAAATAAATAATTTATATTTTTGACCCCCCACTTCTACTAAAATCTACAAGGTGTTTTTTTTTTGCATCATTTTTCATACAATAATAGTTTAATAGAAAAAAATCATTAAATTTTTTTTTATGAACAAAATTCTAAGTGTAACTTTTGGCAGCTCAAGTTAGCGAAAGTGTTGCAGCTGGAATGGAGACGTATCTAGCCACCAATATATTACATACATTTTTCTGTGTTCACTAGATTTTATTAGAAATATGGATAAACTTTTTGATATTTTCAATTCTTCTAAACAACCGGCTTCAAAAAATTTCAATCGGCCACTTAAATTAAATTTGAACAAGATAATCATTTAAAATTAATGTTTAATTTTTTTCTAATTTAAAAGTAATTGATAAAAAAAGTGGTAATGATGTTACAAATCGTATGAAATTTATAAAAGGTTAGTTAATCTTCATATCTGGCTTGGTTTTACTATGGAAGGGTTTGAAATAGTCCAAACCAACATTTCAACAACAAACCTACGTGCTTTACACTGGAAGAATAAACCAAGATTACCTTGAAAACTTATTTTGTACTTTTCGACAGCAAAATGGAAACAATACAAATCAAACACCTTATCAGTTTTTATATTCCTTTAAAAAAATATTTTTACTTAATTACTTTTAACATTCAGAAAATGCTGATTGTATTAATGATTTAGATGAAATATAAACTCAAATTCCAATTCAATCAAATTTAGATGTTAACAAAATGTTTTCATATAATTATCCTTTTCAATTTAAGAAACCAACAGCCTTTAACATTGAACCAGTTTATTATAGAGATTTAGAAATTCCAGATCAAAATTCATTCATTTATGTTTGCGGCAATATTATGAAAAAATGTAAAATTCTTGTAAAATATGTGTAGAATATGCTAAAAGTCAAAATAAATTACATAATTCGTTTTTATTATGTTGTTTTATAGCTTATGAAAACCAAGAAAAATCATTATTCGGAAATTTACAAATACCTCATGAATATTTTTATAATTACTTGTATAAATTAGAAACCATTTTAATAGAAAGGTTTCCTATTTTATTTGTTGAAAAAGGAGTCAGTGATAAACTTAAATTACAAATGCTAAATATTATCTATGAACATCCATGTACTAATTTTGACAATGATTACCTTATAAAATTGTTTATTTGTTTCAGGATTTATTCTACAATAAAATTTCTAAATAGAAATTTAGTATCCGAAAAAAACACTTAAAAATAGAAAACTTGCAATTCTCCAGTATTTATAAATTAACTTTTTTTCATCAACACATACATATTTTTAATTCATAATTAACTTTAAATTATTTTTCTATAAATTAATAATATATTTTTTTATTCGATAAAATAATAGTTTAAATAAATAACATTTGTTGTTCAAATTAATATAGAATTCCTTATTTGAACTTTTACAATTTCCTATAGAGAACGAATAAATAATGTGTATTTGACTTGATTGATCAATAAAAAACAGCAAGTACATCCTTAAAAGTTAAAATTTAATTTAGATTGTACATCATAATGATACAAAGTGTATTTACCAAAAATTACAGCTTCATATATTATAGATAAAACTAACTAAACGTAAACAAAAAATGTATGAAATAATAAACTTTACACAAAATTTCAACTTTCATACAAATTAAACACAATATTCATACTGTCAGATAATATTAAAAAAAAAACATTTTAATTAAGCCAAAACTTTATTAAAAAAATAATAAGTATACGAACAGTCATAATTAATTATCGTTCAAGTATTTATAATGCAATAGTGTTTCAAATTCCAAAATCATTGATAATTTTTGTATTTAATAGAGATATTATACAATATTATTGTAAAATATTAGCACAATAATATGAAATTGTACAACGTTCTTACTGCTTTGTCTTCTGCCCAATCAGAGGGCTTGATTTTTTTTTCGTTTGTTCTCGGCTAAGTTATATATATAGAAATGATATGACTAGGTTCGAATGTAATTTTAACTATCAAAAAATCGAGTTTTTAAAAGTGAAAACCTTCCTGTAAAAGTGGACAGTTTTGTTGAAAAATTAATCCATTACTATAAAGGTGATAATTTACTTTCACAGAATACCCTACATATAGTATAAGAATCTTTTAATGACAGTTTACATAATCATAAAAATCTGAAAAATTCAGATACATTACAATTGGAAATATTAATACTTCTGAAATTACAAATAATGCAGAGTGAGTCCGACACCAGTATCATAAATTTAGCTTCTCTTATTAACTTCGATGCGAAGCTGAGAAGATATTAATTGTACTATGTAGTGTTTTTTTTTGTATGTGTGTGTTACCACCTCTACCAATTCTCACCGAACCGATTTCTTTCAACGATACGTCAAAAAATCACAAATTGTAAAATTTCCAGACTGCATATTAATCTTAACAATACCATTTTTTAAATTCATATTTAAAATATTACCGTTAAAATATCATTCAATTATCACCCTTCACAGTAACTAAATGTTTGTAATATGAATGTCTCATTTATGTTTATCAGTAAGTAACCTCATTCGGCTCAACGCATACGCACTGGAGTATAACCCAGATGATCCAAATGCTAGAGAATGATGACCGTTAGATAATGGAGATATTCTATGCGCACTCATAGATGAGCAATATAATAGTACAACAATACAACTTTATATACTTTATTTGCAGAAAAACCAATCATTTCATACCAGTTATTTCAATTATAAGAGATAAAATTCCCCATTATTTTGGAAAACATCAAGTATATTCTATTAAAAGAGAAGAAATACCCGTTGTAGTTTATTAGATCAAATTTCCTTTTTTTTTATTATTTAAGTTATTATTAATTTATATTTTTCTTCATTTATATTAATATTAAATTATATTGTATTAGTATTAAATTAATCATGCTAATTATTGCATTTCACGTTATCAAATTTTGTTTTATGTTGCTTAATATATTGCTTCTTATTAAAAGAATATTATTAATGTCAGCTGTTACCATTACTGTGATATTACAAATAGTTAAACATTTAATACATTTATGAACAATAATTAATATAATATAAAAATAATAGTAATTTTAGAAATACTAGATCACTACCATATCACATTGACAAGTTTAAAGGTTGACAATCAATTTAAAGACCCTCTTGAACATTTTTTATTTAACTGTAGTTAAGAAAAATCGTAGTATAATAATATGCATGACAAATGTGTAGTACTGTATTTTTTTATGCTTTCCAACTCTATGACAACGCTGATAATTGATAAAATATTTTATTTTCATTTTTACATTATTAAATAATATGATTTTTGGTTGTTAATGTTACTTATCTATAAAAATGAATACCATTTATCTGAACCCTCACATTAACAAATTAATTTGTTGAATTATTTATTTTTAACGTTAGTTTAATAAGTACACATATAAATTTCAATATTTTGTTAATAAATAACTAGTCAAAAACTCTAATTAAACACTATAATACTGTACAAAGATGGATAATAATGATCCACCAAAACTACCAATAAAAACAAATAGCACATCAATTGAACAATTATTGGATAGAAAAATACCGTCTAATGAGTCCTTATCGTCATGTCAATCTTTATTCCCTAGGCCTCGAACGAAATGTATCAATGAACAGTACGCTGAAGGTCGAGCGATGGCAAAAGTTTTAATGTTTTTAGTTGGTAAGTCTTTAAAGTATGCAGCATAACAAAATGTTGAAAGAGATATTAATTCTCTTTTCTTAAAATTATTTTAATAAAACTGATTTAATTTTTCTGAACTTTATAATGGGGGCTTATCTTAATTAATAAGCAGTTATACTTTTTGAGTACCTATTGATAGNTTGGTAAGTCTTTAAAGTATGCAGCATAACAAAATGTTGAAAGAGATATTAATTCTCTTTTCTTAAAATTATTTTAATAAAATTGATTTAATTTTTCTGAACTTTATAATGGGGGCTTATCTTAATTAATAAGCAGTTATACTTTTTGAGTACCTTGACCTTGAGTGTATCTATAGGAGTTCCAGAAAAAAAATTAAACATCAAAATATAACAGACTAATACGAGGTGTGTTCAGAAAATAACGGGAATTTTCGTTTTTAACACGCTTATATTAGTTTCACATGTATTTTGTATGTTGTAAGTTTGTAACTCCACGCGGCACGTGTTATTATGTCGCGTATGCCGTCGTCTATAACCTTGAGACTAGACCGTCGTAACGCATTCACCCCACCCCGCTCACCAGTCGGCGACAACACTATTTTTTTCTGTATAATTTTGAGGATTCGACTGACCAACACCGCGCGTTATACGCCACGGTGCAAAGTCCAGCAAGTGCCGCACGGCCGACGACGTACCCCCGCTAATGATACCGTAGTATTCTTCCAGTCATAGTGATGGGAATTTCGGACCAATCGAACGATCCGAATCGTTTGAGTCGGATCGTTCATATAACTCGTTCTTTCGTTCACTTCTTACGATCGGTCACGGTTCTTATCAATTACTCCTTACTATGGTTTTCCTGAGCGAGTCGTTCAAATTCGCATTTTCACTATGTAACATTACCGCGATATTAGAATTTTTACTCAATACACTTGTATAATCGGGTTACANACCATGTAACATTACCGTGATATCAGAATTTTTACTGATAATACACTTGTATAATCGGGTTATATATTATTTTTTCAAATACAAATTACTTGAAATAACATAATATGCTGTTATACACGAATATTTTTGTATAGAATAAAAACAAATAATTTATACTAGCGGATGAGTTGCGGTACATAAATCCATAGAATTTGTTTCTATAATAAGCGAAATCATTTAAATTATTTGTTTTCATAAAAGGAGTTTTATAGAGAAATTAATTCACCTAAATCAGATATTACAATTTACAGCAGCTATGACCAGATTATAAAAGAGTGAGGTGGTTTAATACCTCTCACAACAATTATATTAGTCTAATAGTCAATTTTTGTCCTAGTTGCTAAATTCACTAATTTATAGACCTATTTTCGCTTATAAATAATTATATGAATGTAATATTTATGAAATAAATAGCATTATATTGATAATCAAAATCGTTCTTCAAATGAATAATATAGTAGGATACTTGAAGTAATCTAACTGTTTTATACCTGCATGATTATGTTAGTAGTAACATGTCACAACTTTGAAAATTTAGTCTGCAGACCTACAATAAAAATGTTTTTATCACAAACCAAATAGAGTTGCTTTTAAACTCTCATTGGCAATAAGTATTTTTTTATTTAATTTTTTAAGAAAACATAATAAGTATATACTTATAAAGAATATATTCTTCGTTTTTTTTTTTTAATTTTATATTATAAGAATATAAGGTTAGGCATAGGTTTTAACTGAAGTGCAGGTAAACGTTCAGTAAGTGAACGAATCATGAAACAGAGTGTCCGATATATTGCGTGAAACGAACGAACGAACGTATGAACGATATCTATTTTTTTTGCGATCCGGATCAACTCGTTCACTGATATGACCCGTTCAAAAAGATCCGTTCGTTCGTGAACGACCCATCACTATCCTGTTGTCAAAGTGGCAACGTCAATAAACCGATCTCCACTCGCGCACCGTCGCCATCAACGCTGCTAACCTTTTGACGCCCGAGGATCACGCCGGACATCGCGTCGTCGACGCCAACGAAAGTGCCACGATATTATGCGAAGATTATATATTCTTACCATCGCCGCTAATATTAATATATATATACATATATATATTATTATTTATATATACGTATATGTTAATATTCATTTATATATCCCTACAGCCGACGCCGCTGCCGCCATATATGCCTCGCGCCCCGCCCGCCAACAAAACACAGCTATACCTCGTGCATGATACGTTTACGTACTTAAGTCGCTTTACATGTATATATATATATGTATATATTCTAATTACTATTAAAATTTATATATTAATACGCTTTATTCTCATTAAGAGATATATAGGGTATTTATTCCGATTACAAAGGATGATACCCGTATCGTCATCTTACGTCACTACCTCCACGTTGCGCGCCTGCTGTTTCCTTGGATGTGGTAGCCGTTTCTCAGACTCCCTCTCCGGAATCGAACCCTGATTCCCCTTTACCCGTTACAACCATGATATTGATAATAACTACTATCATAACATGTAACTAAAAAGTTAAAAATTATTTTTAACTTTTTAGTTCGATGTTCTTTAAAAGTGTGTTTTTTAGTTTTTTTAAACTATATTTATTAATTAACACGCTTATATTAGTTTCACTTGTATGTGTGATGTGTGTTTGTAACTTTCAAGCGGCACGTGTTTTAGTCTCGCATACCCATCGACTATGACCTTATGACTAGACGTCGTAACGCATTCACCCCACCATGCTCAACACATGACGGATACACTAATCCAATATAATTTTATATTTTTGGTTTCGTACCCGTACACGATGTCTTCAATTATATATATATACAAATTTTTTTTTTGACTGACCAATACCGCCCGCGTTTAATGCGCCTTACATATATATATTCATATATTCCTACCGCCGCTGACGCCGTATATACTTTAGGTATAACGTTCCTCCCGCCCACAAAACAAGGCTATACCTAGTGCATTATACGTTTACGTACTTAAGTCGCTTTACATGTATATATATATTCTAATTACTATTAACAATATATATTAACACGCTTTATTCTCATTAAGCGATATAGAGTGTATTCATTTCGATTACAAAGGATGAGTTCCGTATAGTCATTTTTCGTCACTACCTCCACGTTCCGGGAGTGTGTAATTTGCGCGCCTGCTGCTTTCCTTGGTTGTGGTAGCCGTTTCTCTGACTCCCTCTCCGGAATCGAACCCTGATTTCCCGTTACCCGTTACAACCATGATAATGATAATAACTACTATAGTAAAATGAAACTAAAAAACCCAGCAAAGGAGGATCGCGGCACAGTGGTAACGTGGCATAGTTGGATCAAGTATAATATTATCTGACAGTGATTAAAATCACTATCAAAAAAAAA